CTAATTTTTTATTTATTGTAGAGATGAGGTCTCGCCAAGTTGCCCAGGCGGGTCTCGAACCCACGGGCTCAGGCAATCCACTCACCTCAGACTCTCAAAGGTGCGGGATTACAGGCTGAGCCACCGAGCCTGGCTGACTTTCATTTCTTATAGTTTCAAAATCCAGGTGTGTGTGTGTGTGTATTCTAGAAAAATGAAATCAAATAAAATTTTATATTCTCTTATGTCACTGTATTTAATGTCCTTAAATAACATTAAAATTCTATTTTAATAGATTACATGATACTCCATTATACAGAATTTGAATTGATATTCTCTTATTTTTTCATTATCTAGGGGTTCTTTTTGCCAGTATTTGGTACTCTAATGATGATGATTATATATACATTTTGAATGGCATTATTAATGATTTCTTAAAATAGAATATAAAAGAACAATTTTTTAAAGTTTTGCCTTTTATCAGTTTTAAATAGAATAATAAAATATAAGAATATTGCAGAAAATCTAGAGAATTCAAAATAAATAATAAATTTAGACAATATATTGAAAAAATAAAAATTACATATATTCTTGCTTTCCAGGAATTACTCTTGAAAATATTTTGATGTATACTTGTAGTTATTATGAATGTAGCTCTAAATGTTCTTGAGCTTCATTTTTGATATTAACTTTTCAGATATATTTTTAAAAATCAGATTTATGTTTGTTCAGAATGAAGTATATATTTGTTTAGATTCTGGATTAATCTGCACAAGCAATTCTTTTCATTTAAAATTTAAAATGTCTTTCAACACAGTGCCTATGATAACATCACATGACTAGTTTGTAATAATTTTTTCAATTTCTTCCATGATTGACAATATACTTAGGATATCAATTTTTACTGTAAGCAGTTTTGACTATTTTTCCCACCAGAATGCCTTATGCTTTCCTGAAAGTGTTTGAATTTACCAGCACAGTAATTACCTAGTTATTTCTTCTAATATTTTAATCTCCTTACATGGGCCTCTGTCCATTTGCAGGTTGCGTTTCTTAAAATAATCATCCTCTTTCTGCTTTTTCTTGGCCCACCAGAGTCAGTATACTCTCTCCTTCCCTTCAAGTTCTCTGATTCACTATCACAACCCAGTTGCCTCATTGTGCATTCATTGTGCCTTGACTCCTGTTTTCCCACTAGACTGTAAGATGCTGGACAGCAGAACAATGACCAGTTCTTTTTGTCAACCAACCTATTTAAGATAAAAAATGAAGTCAATGTATGATCAAATTGGTTGACTACTTGTGCTACCTGGAAATAAACACAACTACTTAGCCTACACTTCCTCAGAAAATAGGGCCAACTGCAGTAGCATCTGTCTACTCAATATTTGTTGGCGGTTTCTTTCTCCTGTGTCACCTGTCTTTTCTCTCTCCTTTCTCTAATAAATTGTTTGAAAACTTAAAAAAAAACCAAAATTTGTTATAATTTTGTCATGATTCATGATTTGTACTGATTTTGTTAGAAACAAGATCTTTTATTATCTACCATAAAAGTATCATCAAAAATATAAAAATCTAAAGTTTCCATGCTAGGAATGTCTCTTTTTTTAGTGTCTGCGCAGTGTAAAACTATACTACCTTATATATACTACTATACTGATTCCCCAGTTCAAGTATTGAATTTTTTTTCAAAGATTATTGTACACTTTAAACAATGAACCGAAGGCATTAATTATTTTATGGTGTGTTTGGAGATACTGTAACCAGTATTTTCTTTCTACAAATTAAACTGGACATGAGAAAAGCAGACTTCAGTAGAAAATGTTGTCCTCACATTAATATTTCTTCATTTATCACAGTGACTATTGCCTTTATATTAACATTTTCTCTAACTATTTTAAAATCAGATAGCAAATGGTCCCAATTCCTTCCACGCTAAATATGGAACATCAGTGTTAACCACATTTGAAATCAAATGCATATTACTTATTATAATATCAACATAGTTACTTATACATTGCTCAACTATCCTTATAAATTATCTCATGATATTTAAATATACTAGCATTAACGCTTACTGCATATACAATGATTTGGGGCAAGTTATTTAAGCTCTCTGAATCACTGTTTCCTCATTTACATAGTAAAGAATATATTGACCTTGTGGAGTTGTTGGAAGAATTAAAGGAAAAATATCCTTAATGTGCCATTCACTGCCTCTTGTTTTCAGAGAAAATTGGCTCCCATTGATAGACCATGCTGAAGAGGTAAGCCTAGGTATCATATTGCCCTCTCAGCCATGGATATTTGGTCTACAAACCAGTAAGTGCATGCAATGTTGAAACAAAAAAGATGCTTTCTCTGAAAAATTCGCACACACAAATACTGTATGATTTAAGTTAAATAAGCAGTAGACACACAATCAACATAGTCATATAGTAGAAACAAAAAAGATAAAGGGTTAACATGCCAGACTATGACAAAAAGAGAGCTCATGGTTAGACAAAGTCATACTCTTGATAGAACAGAGCAGGTGTCCAAAGAGAGGTGCTGGGAAAAGAAGAGAACAGAGAACAGGGAGAGATAGTTAGAGTGAAATTTAGAGAGAGAGAGAAAAGGAAGAAGGGAAGAAGGGAGGAAGGGAGGAAAAGATGGGAAGGAGGAGGGAAGGAAGGAAAGAAAAAAGGAAAAAAAACAGAAGAAAGAAGGAAGGGAGGAAAGAAGGAAGAAAAGGAAAGAAGAAAGGAAGGAAAGGAGGGTAGAAGGGAGGAAAGGAAGGAGGGAGGGAAAAGGAAGGAAAGAAAAGAAGAAAGGAGGAAGGAAGGGAGAGAGAAAGGAAGGAGGGAGGGAAGGAAGGAAACAAGGGAAAGGAAAGAATGGAGAGAGAGAGAGAGAGAGAGGGAAAGAGAGAGGGATAAAAATGATGTTAGTTTCAGAGCACAAATAATGGAATAGCTAACTGCTTCACTGTTATCCATTTTACATGAAGCCTTGGAGATAACGACTCTTCACTTTTAAAAACATCTTGCCATGTATTTTCAAAAAATTATCTTATGAAATTGAGATTGTTTGAATGATTTTCTAACCCAAACAATTTCTTTTTTGTTTAGAAACACTACAGCATCATCTCTAGCACACAACTAGATACTCAATGGATGAAAGTTAGGTTAAAAAGTCAAAGGTCAGGGAATACGATGTACTTAGCATTAGTTTTAATTACAACAGTCTATCATCTAAACCACATAGACGAAATCTTTTCTGTCAAACAGAGCTGTCTGTGTCAGAAATGTGGCTTGGTCTTTTGTCTTCCCTATAAATACATTCCAAATATAAAGGAAACAGGGTTGGCTGTGGTACATCCTTTTTACCTACTGAAGAATAACATTGTAGATACTTACAAGATTCAGCAACATAATGATTATGAAATTGATACAGACAGCTGCAGCAGATGTTGCAAACTGCCAGTGTTGTTTGATGAAATTCCACTTGAATGATGCAAACTGTTCCATGACAACCAGGCGATACACCACAACTCCAAACACTGCAGTGATCACCAAAGAAATCTACAAAATAGGAGGCCAGAGAAGGCACTCATATTGTGCATCATAAACAAATCAAATGCAAAACCAAATCTACTGTCCCTAAGAGTTGAAAGTATTTACCTTTTCAAGAGAAGATATACAGATTTATTTTTTTTTTCCTTTAAGGAAGTTACATTAGAATCAAAATAAATAGTACAAGATTTGCTGCTTTAGTGTGATAAAGTTATCACACTAAAGTGCAAATTCTGCTCAAATGTCCTCTTTCAAATGAAATGCTTGGCTTTAACACAATATATCAGTTCATCAGGACAACATGCAAAATTTCCACTTTATCTTAGAGGGTCTATTTTCTCCCAACGAGTGCTTTATTTAAAAAAGGTACACAAACTCCCTTTGTAAAATTTCTGTGATTTGCTGTGATTTCTATTTTGTTTACTCATATGCATTACTCAGGTGCTGAAAGGATAAGCCTTCTTACATCCTCAGGTTCACAAAATGAGTTGGCATCAATAGCACTTCCTTCTAAACCTGCAATCCCACAGCATTCTGATAGTGATCACTATACTTAACCATGAAGAAGATTCCTGAGACAGAAACGAGAAGACGAGTGACTTTGTCTGAGGAAGGCTGATGTGGCTCAGGTTTTCCTGTGATGGGATTTACTATCTCCATCTTGTAATACTTTGCTTCAAACTGGGGACGAAGTGTTTCCTATGAGAAAAACTAAAGTTATCTAAATACCAAAGTCATAAACTTAAAAAATTCCTCCAAGCATTGATACAAAACTCCTATGTGTGCTCTACTTTTGTCTTAAGTCTTCATAAAGAAGCAATTTTTTAAATAAGATGCAAATTATTTTCCAAACAAACCCTAAGCAGTATTTTAATTAGCATAATTTTCCACTAATGTAATTTAAGGAAGAATCATAGAAGTGGTATGAAGAATACATATTTTATCATTGACCTCTGTTATCTTCATGAAATAATAAATCTTGTTAGTAAAAAACAGCAAGAGAAAATGTAATAGTGTTTAGCTGAATGTCAGGGCAGTAAATAATTTTCTGTATCACAAGCTAGACCAGGCTCTTTATCTGATATCCTAATTGTTAGGGTTCGGACTTAGACAGGGTGAGGGAAAATGGAGAAGCGCAGGGAGACACGCAGCACCGCCGGGGCTGGCAAGTCGGAGGTGCGGCACTGGGAACCCAGAGATCCGAGTAAATTGCAAAGAATTGCGGCACACAAAATGGTTAAGAAAGAAGAGTTTATTTAAAAGTAAACTAGAGAGAGAAAGAGAAAGAAGAGAGAAGATTCACTTCCCCAAGGTGGGGGAGGGGGACCAAAGCCAGGAAGCATGGTGACAGCCATGGCTCAAAGAGCACATGGCCACACCACAGTCTAGCAAGGCAATGGCCCCTGGTTGCTTGTGGTTGAGTCCTTTGAACCATTCCCCTAGATGGGGGAGGATCATTAAGGTGATTGTTTCTACGTCATCACAAAGGTCTGTTTTACGTCATCACAAAGGGGCAGGCAAGTGCAGGTATTGATGATGTCAGGTGATAGACAGCAGGCAGATGGGTGGGCTAGCCATATGATTGCTGTCATGGTGGGGCCTATTCATGTCACATAGGTCATAAGGCCTGATTAGGTTAACCCTGGGGAGGGAGCGTTGCAAGGGACTTGTTAGACATTTGTAATTTACAAATTCCTTGACCAAACGTGGGGTAGTCGTTTGGGCTGTCCTGATCCTGTATCTGAAGATTTGTCTAGGGGGATAAGATAAGCTGCTGTTTGTCCTGCAGTAGAATGTCTGAATGCTTTCTAATGGTTACACTAAAGCAAAAAGACTAAAGAATAAGCTAAATTTCTTCTAGGTTTCTATAGTACCTTTCACTAATATCTTACCTCCTCTTCTTCCCATTCGATAAGATCCCAAGTATAGGTTAATATACTTCTTCTCCTTTTCCAAAATTCCAGGAAGACTGTGGCTATAAAATATAATAACAATAATAATGATAATAATTATTCATTCAAAACACATCATATTGTTTTTCTTCTTCATATTGACACATTTTCATATTATTAAATTATTAATGTTAATTCAGTTATTACTAATTTATGAAATTTCTTTTTTCATTTGCCCTCTTTTTCCCATCTATACACTGCTATACAACTATACATATATCCTCCTTAGAGGGGCGTGATGTCTTTTATTGAAATCAAGAAGCAGAGACTTTCACTAGCACAGATCATCACATCGATGCTATGAGAGAAAGTCACTATTGGTGAGCTAAATATTATTGTCTCTTTGGAATTGTGCATGCTTATTCTAAGTTATTTAAAAGACTCAAAGAATGACCAGATGCTACCCAACCAGAATTTAGAGAGAGATGATGTGGGAAAGAAAACATACAAGAGCAAAGCTCTCAGGGTGAAGGAGAAAAAAAGACCAGAGAAGAAACTTTTGGATGCATATACTGGAATCTGCCTGGACTGAAAAGGACTCAATAGAAAAACTCGAGAAATTCCCGGACCATTATCTGGTTTTTCTGCTTAAACTACTAAGAGAAAGATTTTTTTCTTCCTGCTAAGTGGGCTTTACCTTACACCATTCAAGACTTTGTGGACATACCTAATGGCTCACATATATGTTCTTAGAAATCTGTAGTATTGAGGTTTTGTTCTCCTTTTTTCTTTAGAACTAAAAATCAGCACCAGTATTGGTTAAAAACAAAATACAATGTTCATTGTTACGTTATCTTACATTTTATCACACTAAAATTTACAAAGACCTTTCTCACACATGATTTAAATTTCAATGTCAGGCTCATAACACTTACAAAGAGATATGACAGGTATTATTATAATGTGAATTTTGGAAACAAAAGTGGTGATTGACACAGACAATAAATGGTAGCACCAGGAATGAAACTCTAGTAACTACTCTCCACCCATGCCTGGCAGATGCTGTCTACGGGCTGTTTTTGTTTTCCTTTTTTTTTCTTTTTTCTGGGCCTACCATAAATACTAAGCTCCACTGATTTTCTGTTAAGTTTGAAAGGTATGTAGGGATGACTAAAATAAACAGGACAGCGGAAACTATTGACAGCAAGACAAATTAGGTTCCTTAAGCATTGGATCTGCTTTTAAAATAGCAGACCACAACTACCGAATTGAGATCTAGGACTTAACAGAAAAGTGAGATACTGAGGAAGTAAATAGGGAGATACAAAGAAAGGATTTATTATCAAAGAAAAACCGGTGGGGGGCTGGGGAGGGAAGCACAGTGTTAAATATGCAAGTCTAACTTGCAGTGGTTATAAGCCTGGAACTTAAAGTTTTTAATATAGTAAGTGACAAAAAGAATGTTCAGTCAAATTCTAATTATCATCAATTTCAGTCAAGGCTCAGAGTTTAAATGTGTCACATACTCTCTTTTGGGTTTGTATTTTCAGCGTATACTTGAGTAAGAAGCTCTGCCACAAAACCTGAGAAAGAAAGTTAATCTTGAGTTTGGTGTGATTTTAATCTGGAGGGAAGGACATTACAGAAAGTATGTTGGATCTTTCTCAGAAAGCAAAATGCTTGCTTAAAATTTCAATGTTAATTTCAATGTCTTTGCTAAAAATCCATTCTCAATTTGAGACATATTTATTTTATTCACAGCTTATTTGTGTAAACTCTTAAGTAAACCTATATTCTCGATTGCTAAAATTGTTAATTTGAAAGGGAGCATGCAAAATAATTTGTCAGTATGCCAAACGCTGAGTAAGGAAGAAAACTGACATCCATTAATCCCTACTAAACTTATTAATACAAATAAAATCAACAATAAAAAATAACTAACCTTGAAAATTAAAGCAGTAGTTTTCTCCTGGGGTGGAAATGACTGACAAGTGACTTAAGAAACTATGTGGGGTGTTGAAAACATCCTATACTTTAATAGGAGTAGTAGTTACAAATGTGATCAAACTGTACTCATAATCTGTGGATTTCACTATAAAGTATATACCTCAAGAAGCAGATTTTTGAAAATGAATTTTAAGTACCAAGTGATCAAAAATACTATATTTTTACAATCACGCAGCGGTCTTCCCCAGGTTTGTAGTCTTTGCTTTCTCAATACTTTTAATTCTTGTGCTTAGCAGTAGTGGGACCTGACCTTGCAGTGAGGGGTGAAGAGAAAACAGAGAGCTGGGAAGACCATATCTCATTCCACAGCCAGTTCCAGGGTCTGCAAATCCAATTATGAACACCAGTAGGCAGAGCAACAGAAAGGCCTATATAGGTTCCTGCCATAGTTGTATTAACTGAATTAACTGGCTTTGGAAAAGAGAAAGGGCGTTTACTTATGCAAAGACTTAAGGAAATGGATGAAGCAGAAGTACCCCCCTTAGTGACCTCGAGGTTCTCTTGCGTAGGACCTGGTCAATATAAACACAGGAGGAAAGGCCAGGACCTACAAGGAAGTGCTTGGTCCATATCTAGATACACTCAAATTCCAACAATGCATAGTGAAATCAAGCTCTACACTGTCCTAGATCATCAGCAAGAATTGACCCACTGGCGCACATTTTTTCTCATCTGGAGTGAAGAGTGGGTTCTACATGATAGAAATGTGAGGTGGAGGGCTAACCATGTCAGGGTCTCAGTTCAATGACTATGTTCTCCTAGAAGAACTGTATGAATTTATTCTCACGCTTGGTAGCAGAGAGAAAGAGAAGAAGAAAAGGGGCTGAGTTGACATCTTTATCAAGCTTGAGTACCGAGCATGGGAATTTCAAGAGGAAACAGGGATCTGTGAACTCCATGATTCAATGACTGTAAAATAAAAAGTACCTTATAATGCATTTTATTACAATCAGTGGTGAAAAGTTTGGCTTGCATAGTTAACTCTGGGATCCTGACGGGATCAGATGGTCTCTGAAGTAAGCCGCAGATTGGAAGAATACAGGAGCATTAACGGCAAGCCCAGACAGGTTTTAGGAGAGGTGAAAGTGTGGAGAGATGGAAGAACCTTGCTGAATCACACAGATAGTAGGAACCCATGTCTTCCTAACTCTACTATTCCCGTTCTGTCTATAGTACAAGGTTTTCCTGGATGTTAATGGGTAGACTTGAAAATAGATGCTGATAGATGGGAAGGGAAAACTGACAGCAAGCTGTATTAGTCACTAAGAAAGAAATATCCTGGAGATGGACAGATATGGATGTAGAGAAAATAGCAGAAATAGAATAGCATGGGGTTGAAAGGAGGGAAGTCAATGTATAAGGGCAAAGGAACAATGGCCTAGAATGAACATGGCAACAGAGGTTGTGGATGGTGAAGAGGGGAGAGAGTGTATTAAACTTTCTCATGTTAAAACAAAAATACTTAAAAAATGAAAGTGTATTAAGTGAAAGTCATTGCATTTGTAAATGGCGAAATGTCAATCAGATTTATATGTAGGGAAAGTTCAGAAATATAGATGCACAAGTAGACAGGTAGATTGACAAATCTATATAGAGACATAATATCCCAAACAATAATTCTGGAAATGTCCACTCTAATTTTCTGTGGGAAGTGGATTATGAAGCACTTTCATCTCGTGTGTAGTATATATTGTACAAAAAGTACGTGCTGCCTAAGTTCTTTTTACCACTATGTGGAAAGTTAACCAAATCTTCCCCCTTGGTTTTGTGAAACTGGGTTGGAGACAGAATTGGAAAATTAGAGGCCTACAGAAAAGGATCTTTTGCTATCACGGAAAAGCCAGGTTTCTCGTGCCTCATGGAGGTGGAAGGAGTGTTCTGGAAAAACTGAAGATGATAATGCTTAACTCTCTTCCTTAGCAACCGTACCTTAGGTTTAATTTTTACCCTTGACTCTATGACATGCTTTCCTCAACTTAAAAAGAAGTCAAAGATGCACACGCCGTGTTTAGTCCTTGTTCTTCCATTTCTACATCTTAAAGTTCCAATACAAAGTAACAGAATCACAGTGTCATACATGTATAAAAGGCTAGATGCTGCATGTGGTTTTTTCCAAGTTGTTTGTTTTAAATTTACAGAAAACAAAGCCCAGACTGATTAAAACTTATCACTGACCTTGTTGAGCAACCATCCATAGCATCTACTACACTTTATTACTGTTTATTATGCTTGTTCTTGTACATGACTTTCTTACACTTGAAGGTAAGTTTCTTTAGTGCCTTTTTCCTTCACTTTTATAGTGTTTAGCACATTGAAAATACCAAATAAATGTTTACTCAATGGAACCGAGTTATTTAAAAGAATCCAGTCATCATGACTGTGACTCCTGATCTTGTGCTCTTGCCATTATTTCAGGTTTTCAAATAATACTTCACAGTATTTCACTGGAAGAAAGAGAGTATCTCACCAGATAAATCCTTTATTTATTGAGAAATCAGTTTCAATTTTATTTAAAAACAATTATTACTAAGAAAAAGTTTTAAAAACTACTGCACTATTTTTCTAAGGTGGTTGAATAGAAAAAGGCAGGGAAAAGGGGTCCATTCAAACACAAATGAAGTTAAATATGTCTGAACATGGTGAACAAAAAGGAATTCCAAGTATAGTTTTCAGCAGAGATAAGGACCTGAAGCCTTCTCAGAATGCCCAGCTGAAACAACAGTTTATCAGAGCAACAGCTCAGATTGCCAATTTGGACAGCATCCAAGTACTACCAAAGACTCTTCCATTCCCCGAGTTTATTTTCAGCAACAACCTGAAGCATAATGTGCTTTCCCTGAGCACGATTGCAAAAGCACTGTACATGAGGTAGAAATAGCAACCTTGCTAAGCAGGTTCCACGCTTAGCAGAAGGGCCATGAATATGGAACATTTTAAATTTCCATGTCTGGGAAAACTACAGGATTTTGTGTTTTTATTTTTTGGCTAGCATCTTATAGAAATACAATTAATGGAGCTTTCTACATGAGCCTAGAGCAGGCTAATTGCTTCAGAAAGCCTGTAAGCATGTGTGAAG